AGGATTTTGTTTGGTTGGTGAGTCCCATAGGTTTATGGGATGACTAGATCAACTCAGTTAGCCTAACTAGTTTGGTTTAAAGGATGAGTCAAAGAGTAAGGCTTGATGGCACCCTCCTCACCAAGGTCATTAGAAAATTTTGTTCATTTGCAATCGATCTATGAAATGCAAACTATTCTATTTCTAATATTTGTAATTTTAACTCAAATTTAAATTAAGGGACATTTAAATAACATATCCATCCAACTTATCTAACACCTAAAATTTAATTTTTACATGTATGCTGCCCAAATCTTTTACATCACATAAAAAATACCACTATTTTAACTTTTAAAAAGTGAAATACACCTTTTTATGCATCTGGTAAGGTGGTAAGTATGTAAAAATGGAAGTTCAGGTGTTAGATTTGTAAATACATAGGAATTGAGTGCTATGTATTTAAAACTTTCTTAAATTAATAAAACAACAACAACAACAACAACAACAAAGCCTTAATCCCACTACGTGGGGTCGGCTACATGAATCATTTTTCTCCACTGCATCCTCTTAAATTAATAAAACCTCAAAAATAAATTTTTACCTCAAAATAACTTCTCTTAATACAAGCCTCAATGCTTAATAACCTCGAATCAAAATAAATTCTTGAAAGAAATAGGGTATTTTAGTTATTAATATTTATCTCTCTCTCTCTCTCTCTCTCTCTCTCTCTCTCTCTCTCTCTCTCTTATATATATATATATATATATATATATATATATATATATTACATATTAGGATTGTTTAGAGTTATTTCACACTCATTCACACTGGCTTGACTTATAGTGGAACCTGTTCAATTGAAGGCTTGACTTATGGTGGAACCTGTTCAATTGAACTATTTCTTCTTGGGTCTTTAGTGACGTTACTGCATCACTTATTACTTGTACTCAGTCTCTCGAGATCAGGGAAAATCAGTATGTTTGAATGCCGGAATAGATGAATGAACCTCATGGCGTTTCTAGAAAACTAATGAGAGCGAAGCACTAGTGTTCATTCATTTTACGAACATGTTATGTTGAGTTGAAGAAGAGGTCTACTGATAGTCTTGAGTCTTGGTGTCTCATTATTGATATTTCAATAAACATTGAACCTATAAAAACATGCATCAGATGAGTTTGCAAAAATGGCGTATCTATTATTTTATTTGACTATATATTTGATGTAACCTCTACCGCATTTTCTTTTTAGTTTAAACCTCCAATGTTTTTCATGTTTGTTTTTCTTGGTTTTCGGTGTGTAGATTCAAGGAGTGCTTCTGAATGCATTTCATGTGTCACTAACATGAAGGCTGACATCGAAGATAAAATGGATATTGATCACATAGGTGCTGCTCATAAAAACATGAAAGCTGGTTTGAAGGCTGATGAAGAGGAGCAGATTCCACCAAATTTGGTCAAGGCGCCTGATACAAATAAACCAACAAAGAAGCGCATCACACCCGTTGCTGTCAGCTAAGAGTTTTATCAGTCTCATGAGCATCAGTAACGGATACTCTGCAAATTTCCATTTTCTAAAAATTTTGAGCTCTATCACTGCAATTAAATTTTACTCTAATATTGCAGAGTTAACAGGTTGCCAACTAATTTGCATTTACTGTTTTATTTTCAGCAAGGTTGATGTGCTTACAAGTGCACCAAAAATTTCTGAAGAAGCAACTCATTTATTTTGCATTTGAATTATGGATGTATGTGGAAAACCAAGGGAAACAAAGTGATGATGGAGAGATTATATTAAAGCAAACCTTCCTTGCCTTGCCGAAGTTACCATCATTGGGATGGGGTGATCTTCTTTCTATGGATGGTGTTTATTGATTATTCTCATTAGGATAATGTTACTTCTCCGTTATTGCTTTCTTTTTGAAGATCCAAACTGTGTTCTTTTCTGCAGAGTTAGCCGCAAGTTGCTGTTTGCCCTGTAGTGATGAAGTTTGTTGTATGATTAACTTACATTCCTAAGAACCATTTACAGTGTTGTTTTATCTACTACTCCACCCATGTACTTTATCGCAGTGTATTTAGCAAGTTAATATTTTTTTGTTGTCTTATTAATCAGTATATCGTTGTGTAACAAAGATATTGCAAAGAAAAAGCACTCATTTACGGAATTTTTCGTGACTTGAAACATTTTACGAGCAAGCTTTGTTCGTGCTTTTCCTCTATAATGAAATGGATAACTTGTGATCATGCAAGAGGGGCCTTGGTTCAAGCATTTCAAGAGCTAAACTTGGTGTAGAAAGAGGCATTTATATCTTAAAAATTGTTGAGGTTAAGTTGTAGGATGGAGTGGTTGTGAAGAGATTAGGGACCAAGCATGACATATTCATTGAATTCGAGATAATGTATGGTGGATAAAAAAGTTTAGGATTAGATGATTTAAGAAGGTTGTGGTTTGAGAAACACTTTGACAAGGTATATGGATGTTTATGGATGTGATTTGGATATTGAACCGAATTATTAAGGGGTTTAAAGTTGTCGAAGTGGATTAAACTCGAGATTGGGTCAGAAATGATAGTTTTGTTGAATGGAAGATATGCTCTTTTTGTTTGAAAATTTTCACGATTTATGGGAGGCTTACTTCATTTATAATGAGTGCTCATTAGATGGTGCACCACTTAGCCACCAAGTCCGAGAGAGGAAGAGAAAGTGTTGGAAATACTTGCAAATTTTAATAATAAATTCTGACAACAATTAAGACAATTAATCTTAATGTAATGTACCACCTAAAATATAATAATTCAACACATGATTACAATATATGTATTGCCTTCCGAACAGCATAGACAATGAGAATGACATGATGCACAAAATGTTTTGTTCCTTCATTATTAAATATTTCTCATGGAGCATATGATGGGAATCGCTATGTGCTTTTATAACCTTTCAAGTTCCGGCCTAAGGTGAGCATTTTATTATCCAGTGTAATACATAATATATATATATATTATATATATATATATATATATATATATAAAGTTGCTCCACAAAAAATTGGATGCAGGAATTGGCAATTGGAACCCTCTATACCAATAGAAAACAGAAGCAACTCACTCCTAAGGTTCCACTATCAAAGTACAACTCACAAAAAATTCTCGAAAATACAAGTATACTAATAAAAACTCCAAAATAACCAATATATCAAAATACCAACAAAGAGAGCCAAAACATTGTCTCTGCAGTAACCTTTAAAAGTATAAATGCTCAATCCATAATAGGTGCTACAAGCAGTGTATATACTGCCTTTGGATTAAATCACCAAGCAATAATCTGCTCAACATAAAAGGAGGAGGTACTAATCCTTACATAGTCCCTACATGCACCAAGCTTCACTAGCCAGTTGGTAGGGGAGTTTCCCTCCTTAGCGATGAAACTCCAAATCACCTCATATCACCCAACATCGCCAAAATCCTTCTAAACAAAATAGTTAAGTTCCAAGGCGGAGGTTTTTGTAATTTCAAATATATGATTAGTTCAGCACAGTCTGATTCGCTATGTAGAAATTACCAATTAAGAGAGGATGCAATTCTAGTAGCCATCCAAACAACCCACATTTCCGCTTCAATTGGAGTAGCAGTAATAATAGGAGAAGCATAAAAACAGTCACATGTACCATCACCATTTCTAAATACCCCACCAGCACCCGCAACCTGTGATATCATCTACCATCAATATTCACTTTCAACTAAGGACCACTAGGTTTCCTCCATATCACTTTTTGCACTTTCCTAAAAATCAGATTTGGCCTGCAGTTCTTCAATTGTTCATTACCAATGCTCAAATCAGAAAAGTAAGATAGATTGTAAGCACCATATGTAAAAACTTTATATATATAAGTTAAAACATTAGCAACCACCCCTATTTCCAAAACCACCACCTCATGGTACTTAGCCGTGTTTCTTGCCATCCAAACGAATTATCACACAATATAAGGAAGATGATTCAAAAATTTTTTAGATTGCTTCCTCCAAAAATTAAGAAACCTCTCCAAATTACGATCACCTATTTGAGCATCAGAAATACCCAATATTAGGCCCAATCGAGCCCAAACAACAAGAGAAAAGGGGCATTTAAAAAAAGATGATCCTCATTTTCCTCCTCAGTCTTGCAAAGAATACATTGTTAGGGATTTTCAGTCCCTTTAGTTTAAGAATGTCATCCAGTGGCAGAAGTTGATGGTAAAGCCTCCATAAGAAAAATGACATAGAAGGGGAGATTAATTTACCCCGAATACTTCTACTCAAAGATATATAACTTTATAAATATAGTAATAGGAAAGAAGTGTTGTAGTCATACTACTTTTCTTAGTCACATCAATTAGGAATTTAGAGATGACCGCACCACACTCCTCCCCCAAAGTTTCCCTAAGTAATAAGAAATTTCATGCAATATTACTCCAAATATCAGCCATTTTGTAGTCACCAAAATCCTCCTTCAAGGTAGAGGATATGTCCTCCATACACCATTTATCAAGCCACTGAGAAATTTTTCCATTTCCCAAATCCCAATAGATGAACTCTTCAGCTCTTTCCCCTTTGCAGATTTTGGAAACCCCCAATCTGTAAACAATTTGAGTTGAGTGTTTCTCTCTACAATATTTTTTATGCATAAATTCAGTCCGTAAGGAGTTCCTAGCATGAAATTAGAGGCAAAGTTTAAATGCATTAAATTCAAAAAAGTGAGGAAATTCCTTAGAACCCAAGCCACCAGCCATAACTGGCTTGCAAACTCTCTTCCAACTTGCCCAATGCTTTTTGTGTTTATCCCTTGCCCATAGAAATTTGTTAAAGCACGTCTCTAAAAAATATTGTGTACTCTTCTTCATTTTCATAACATGCAAGGAAAGCAAAGGGATAGAATTTAGAACATTCTTAAGAAGAGTGATCCTACCCCCCTATGATAAGAAGGAATTCTTCCAGTCCATCATGTGTGCTTTTGTAGCCTCCAACACACCATCAAATGGAGTCTACTTAACCCTATCTTTGAGCAAGTTCACCCAAATATATTTCATTGGGATAACAGTTAATGCAAAACCAGTAAATTCCTTAATCCACTTCCCCAAGGTACTATTTACGTTCTTATTCATTACTAGTTGACAGTTAGCCTTATTAAAAGCCATACTTGAAATATTTTGAAAGTTTTGTAACACTAACAATTCTTTTCACCGAGGCCTTCCTTGCATTTGGAAAAATTATAACATCATCAACATAAGCTAGGTGGCTAATAACCATCCTTGCTTTATGATGAAATTGAGTAGAGGGATGAGAGAGCTACGTATTGTTTAGCATATGAGAGAAATAATCAAAAGCACTGATGAAAATAGTTGGTGAAAGTGGGTCACCTTGCTTGATTCCTATAGAAAATGAAAAAAACTCCATTTAAGATGCCATTAATAAGCACATAATAGTGATTGCATCTTAATCATCTTGTTAGAAGGGAAAAAAAATTGTGCACTGAAACCTCTTCCCCTTAGTACTGCTAGAGTAAAATCCCAATTTATGGTAACATATGCTTTTTTGAGATCAAGCTTCATAATTGTGTTACCACTCCATTTTGTATCTAATTCATGAATGAGTTCTTGGGCTAGAAGTATGTTATCTGTAATATCTCTACCCTTTGTGAATGCTGATTGATTGACTGAAATTAGAGAAGAGAGAATAGGTTGAACCCAAGCCACCAATATCTTACTTATAGTAACTGATGTAAGCTAGATTTGTCTGAAGTGATCCCAATATGTTATGATGTTGCTTTTAGGGATAAGAATAATTGTGGATGTTGAAAAGTAGTTACATGGGCCTTCTTCCTTATAGAAACATTGAATGGCCTTGGAAACACATTGACAAGGTTTAGGGGTAATTATAGATGTGATTTGAAGTTTGGGTTGTCTTTTAAAGGGTTTATGGAATTAGATTAAACTTGAGATTAGGTCATAAATGACTTAGTTTGGGTGAAAGGAATTTATGCTCATTTTCTTTGAAACTTTTCACAATTTATGGCAGGATTAGTAAGAAATTGAGAACCACAAAAAAATTAATAAAAAAATAAATAAATAATAGACCCCAAATTAAATCTTGCACCACATAGCCATCAAGCCCAAGAGAGGAAGAGAAAGTGGTGGAAATACTTGCAAATTATAATAATTATTTATTATAGCAATTTGGACATTTAAATGAAATTTCTCTCTAGTTCACAATTCATAGTTGAAATTTTTAAATTCCTTGAGACTATGGTGGTTCTCTTTTATTAGGAGGTGGTTATTCATATTTAGAGGGGATCAAAGGTTTGTCCTTATTTTTATGATCGTAAGTGCAGCATTTTCATCAATTTGGACTGAATTAAGACATTCCAAGGTTGTACGTACTTGCTTAAATGATTTTTTAAAAAATAAATTTCTCCCTACATTATTTTGAGTTAAAATATGAAGTCTTTTGAGGTCTCTCTCAGACATGAATTTATATGAGATCTCCAAATTCTTCTTTTTTGTGTAATGTGATGTGATTGTTGAATTATGTGTTTTTATAGGTTCCATGATGCTCTCCAACCTCTTACATAATTTAATGTAAGGCCTAAAATATAATAATTTAATACATGATTACAAAATGATATTTCAAAATGAAATTGAAATTATTCACAAAATGTTTTGATCTTTTATACTTAAATATTTATCTTGGACCTTGTGGTAGGAATCAATATATTCTTTTTATTTAGAGCTTCTAAGTTCTAGCCTAGGTGAGAATTTTATTTAACTGGAATTGTATTATCTATTATCATACATTTTAGAGGATCCAATGGAAGGATAGCCTCAACCCCAAATGTAAATAAAAATAATAAAGTGCGTTAAGTTGTGGCTTATAACACTGTTCACATTTATTTTTATTTTAAACCTTTAAAATAAAAAAGTTTTAGATTGTCTATATTGTGATGTACAAATTTACTAATTTTTTATGTTTCTAATATTTTAGCTATGATTAGATATAATCTACCATGGCATGCTAAATCAATAAATCAATATCATTCCTATGGAATTTGAAGAAGTGGTTAGCCTTGACTTGTCATAAAGATTTTATTTCTACCTATTTTAAATATTCTATTTCTATTAATAAAAATTAGT